TAAGTGTTTTATGGCGCTTGCAACTGCATAAGGTCATATGAGCACGCGGACCTTCTGTTGCGAGCGCCGTATAAAACCTTATTAAAACAAAGCAAAAAATGGGGTAAATATGTTACTGGTTACTCGTGGTCTTTAAACGGTCGCGTCCACAGTGGTATAAATCACCCCTGTCCTCCAGTAACAGATTATGTAATGGCTCACGAAGCTTTACAAAAATATAGCCTGATAAAAACAATGCAGGTCATTTCTATAGCACCCACTCACGTACAATACAGTCAAGTGGTAGGCGCTTGACAATAATGCCCATGATGTGTGCATTACACACGCTCTTCATGTTAACGATAACACATAAGCAGACACTCATACATCGATATCTCAAAATGACAAAGTCTTATCTGATATTTTTTACTTTTTGAGTAACTTATACATTCTACCATGAGGTCAGAAACCAATGTGCTATCTGCTCTATCAAAATCATAAGATTAAATTCGCAGTCATTGTCAAGATATTCAAAGAATTGCATTCGAAAAAGCTTGACATATTTAGAAACTCAAAATGTTTGACGAGAAATTTCTCAAAACTAGGTACTGAGAAGACAGAACTTTAAATTTGTAATTTTGAGGTAGCATCATTTAGGCCCTACTATCACAGCACAATCAATGAAGATGTGCTCTTCTAATTAGTGTGTACAATGGAGTTACTATGATCGCCCGTCAGAGCAGAACAGAGACAGAGATCAGTCCAGAGTTGTGAATACGCTTACTCAAGACATTTTATTGACAAAACAATCATACCTCAATCAGGAAAACAATGGCATTTATTTACTGCGTTTCTGCTCATCTAGGTGTGTGTGTGTGTGTGTGTGTGTGTGTGTGTGTGTGTGTGTGTGTGTGTGTGTGTTTGTGTGTGTATGTGTGTGAGTGGGTGGGTGCGGGAGTGGGTGTGTGTGGGGGTGGGGTTGTGTGGAGTATGGGTAGGGGTGTAGGAGTGTGTGGGTGGGATGGGGAAGGGGGAGAAGGGGGCTTTTCCACGATTAGAAATTTAATTCTAAAGATTTAGAGGTTTCATTACTATTATGGACAACTTATGAAAACAAGTTTTTTTGTCATTATTAGCAACAACCATGAACAAAGACTTGAGACCCACACTGAAGAGGATTTCATAGATGTGATAAGGTTCACTAAAGCTCTTCGCTGCCGCGCCCGTAGAATTTACCGGCCTCAACCGAGTAGCGCTGTGCCTATGGCCCATAGGATTTACAGGACTATGACATAAATTGTTTTGCTACCAATTATAAGGGAAGTTACTGCTAAAATCTTGTAATTATTATTGAGGTACCTTCCCTTTATGTTTACCTCCATTTCCTCCCATATATATGGATTGTATGAGCATTGTGTAAGGTAGGAAAAGCCTCTTGTCACTTCCTCTTTATCTGCAAACACTCACACGACAAGTATTCCTCTTTTTTTGGTCTCAGTTCATCATTACTCGAATGTGTGTTGTTTATGTTGCTTGGCGCCGCTGTTTGTGGCATTAAGTTACTAACTCCAACTTTTCTCCATTCCTCTCTCAATGAAATCCCCCCAAAATTATATCTTTAGAATTGTGGTTCAACGTAAAATGTACATGCAGAAATTCAAAAGGAAATATTAATAACTAAATAAGTTATGGGAAGTAGAATGGGGTCACCCCTGAGCAGCCTGGTTCATGGGATTTCCCCCGGCACAGGGGCCTATTTACCTGCGGCATTGAGGGGGTTAAATAGAAGGCAATTATTGAGTGAAAACTTAAAGCACATGTGAACTATTTTAAAAGGACAAGCACTATTAAAACTCAATAACAACATATTTTACCTAATGACCGGTCCTTGGAGATCCCCATGTAGATGTGAACTACATTAGAGCAGCATAGAGACTCCAAAACCTTATAAGTGGCTGCTTTTTTCATATCAGGGAGTTCAAAGGTCGTTGCGGCTGCAGAGTAAATATAATCATCAACATGAGGAATTCTGCATATTTTAGAATTGATAAAACTAAAATATAAACACATTTGAAAGTAGGCATATTATATTTTGGGTTATTATTGTTGGGTAGTATAACATATATGAGGTAAAGCATTATGTTTCTAAAGTAGAACATAAAGGGGAAAGCAGGGAGGTCCTTCTTTTACTGACACAACTTTCCCAGTGAAGTGGACCCTTCCTTATAATCCCAAGTTCAATGACAACAAAGTCATGTTCATTCGTTTCCACAGGAAAGGCACACTTTTAAACCCAAATCTAGAAAGCCAGTCTTTTCAGGTATATTTTATTCATATGCCATGTCTCTGGCATAGTCAGATTGTTGACCATTACATATATTACAAGACAAACATCGATCCTTGAACATTTTTTCAAATACTCTAAGAATTTCATCCCCAAAAGATCATCAACAATTTGTGCACTTATAAAATAGTGTCTCTAAACCACAACAACGTCTTCATATCATTTTAAATACTCTTGCTTTCAGAGTATATTTCTTCACAATGCGCATAGCTGCTGTACATAGCTTCTGCATGACGCAAAGTCAGTGAGTGATGATGTCATTAACAAATGCATGCATGGCAAATTTAATCGTTTTGTGAATTAAAAGGCTCTCATCTTTTTGGGGCTGTACGTTACCTTGACATGATTGTAGTCTGGAAAATACAACACCATCACAAGAGAACGTTTTTAAAATTCACTTATCGTAACAACTCTGATTCCCATTGCTCTTATATTAACGGTCCGGAGACTTCAGACAGTGTACAAAGTCACACAACCCACAGAGTGAATCTCCCTACATGGGGTCTGTGTAGGAAATATGTTCATGAAACAGCCGTCATGAAAGCTGGTTTAATTTTATGAATTTAGTACATGACAAACACCTTAAGACACAGGTACATGGTATAATGAAAAGATTGGTGCACTATTATATAAAAATAACAAAGTACGGTTTGAATACTTAGATACACCCTAGTCAAAAACACAACTTCCTCCTTTATAGAAGATGCAAAATTTTGTACAGTGAAGCACCAAAAACATAGCATGCTAAATCCCACATGACACAACACGTGATCCAGTGACAAAGTGTGTACTATCAATAGTTCAGTGGGAATTAGTGTGTTTGAAGCCTCCCCGCTCTCCCCTATAATCTATCAACTTGCTTTAACGGCAAACCAAGAACAGGTGGAAGAAAGAGTGCCCCACAAAAGAAAAGAGCATGGCACAGCCTAAGAGAGATCATATTGTGAGAAGTACAAATAAAGAGATTCTTCACCTTCAACGAAAACAAATCTGTGCTAACGTACCATTACAAATGCTGACCAAAGTCTCTGTGGAGCAGTCCAGAGGAAGACGGTTTGTGTAGATAAACTGTAGCACGGCTAGAATGTCTTTGTAAGACACGTCTGGTAACTTTAGATCACACTGAAAACAAAATTTGGGAACAATACAATGTGGTTTCTTTTTCACCATATAAATGATATAAATGCAGGAAACCCATATATAAATCAAGCACAGATGAAAGAGTTTAAAGAATTGCAAATGCCAAAGCCAAATAGCATAAGTCATGATGATGATGATGATGATGATGATGATGATGATGATGATGACGATGATGAAGATGATAGCTATATTTGGAGCTAAACTTGTTTCCCATTTCAACAGAACAACTTACTTAGATGTTCCAATGTTATTTCAACCAGCAAATATTCCCTAGTTTAAAAAGCGAATAAGATTTTGATTTTCGCACTCACACTCCTGCTGGCCCAGTGTTCTTGGCAAGCTCAATCTATTCTTTCTTTATACCTTTCGAACAGGCAATACCATTATTGAATACATTACTGATTTATATTAGGCCTTTGTCTTTATGAAAATGCAGCATCATATAAATGTGAGGCACCGCGGTGAAATCGGTTGCTCGTCAAAATAATGAAATCAAAGAAATTCAAATTTTTCCCCTCATTTTCCGTTGACCTAAGGCCCAATAAATCAATGCTATTAAAACAAACTTCCATCTACGATCTTTCTTTACATGTCCAACAAATCAGGCATAGTCCATTCAAAAACATTTTTCTCTCCCATAAAAGTTTTCAAAACATTTGACAGAGTGCAGCTTGTGCAACCTTTACACATATTTCAATATCAAAATGATACACAGAAATGAATTATCCAAATACTCAAGGAGGTTATCTGTTAGATCGTTTATGGATCAGATATTGTGAGAGGAATAGTTTTACTTAGATGAGATGTATAATAATAACAGAAAAAGTATCTTAAACAATATATTATGTTTAAGTATCTTAACCAGTATGTTAACAATATGCTAGTCTATAAATTTACCTTTTTCTCCTTTTCTCGTTTAAACATGTTTGCAAAATATTTTGACCTGGCAGCAAGAATAGCTTTATGGGCATACACAGACTTCCCATCTATCTCAAACTTCATATCGCTGTGAAGCTTGTTGTTCACAAGGCTTCCGATCTCCACAAAATATGAACCATCATCAGCTGGCATAACTGCATAGAAAAAAAGTAAAATTTTGAAATGCATTTAAGTCAAAGCAGCATTCTTCATTCTAAATATATTTATCTTACCCATTAATCTCACAACTTATCAATCAATGCTTTCCTAACTTACTCCTTATTTATTTCTGAGAAAATAGAGCCTATAATGAGCTGGATCCTGTGGCAAGCTAAGGGTTTATTAATAGAAAAGAACCCTGAATGATACTTTGTAAGTAAAAGTTTGTCCAGTGTGTTGGGAGCTACAGAAAAAAGAATTTGGGAGTTGAGTCCGGCTAAAAATTAATGACCTTGTTTTAAAAGTGACACTTTAAGATACAATAATAGATTTGTGAAATAACTTCTTTTTTACCCAAATAATTTGAGAGAATTAGCGTACAGATAGAATCCTACTCAGTTCAATCTGCACATATACTTTAAAAAAATAAACAAATTAAACTAGGCCATAAAAACCTATGAAAAACAAAAGTCAAACAAAATCATACATATATATATATATATATATCATATAATATATATATAAAATATCTATATAATATGTATAGTTGTTCTATAACATCCCGAGTATAAGATATACGTATATTATATCTATATTCCATATATATCTGATATATAAGTTATATATATATATATCCCGATATATATATATATATATATATATATATATATATATATATATATATATATATATAACTTAGGACATCAATCTAGAAAAACTCTTCATATCAATGCCTTTTTATCCACATTGTGAATTAAAAAACAGCCCTGTGAGTTTTTATTAGTCTGTAAAGTACCTCTCATACACCAATTCCTAAATTGTTAGTTTAGTAAGAGTTTCACTGCCTTCACAACTACATAAGACCATATGAACGAATAAAACTTTCCAGTTCATTGTTTTCAGGACAGTTCAAAGCATGGCTTGGTTTTATGTAATGGATGGGTTAAAATTTAATGGTAAAATCTAGTTTTAAAAACAGTAATATACATTTTATTAAAATAACAATATTTCCACTTTTGAGTAAAGGCCAATAGCCTTTATAAAATTGAGAATTCTGTTGAGATTAATGACAGAGAACAAATCTTCTAAATTTGTACATTTAAAATATTTCCTTCCAGTCTGTCCAAAGTCTGGACGTTCTATCAGTATGTGTCTAAAGATAAAATCTATTATATTGTATCCAACACAAAAGGGCTTCTCATCTCCCTGCAGGAGGCATTTATTTATCAGGGTGGTATGTTCAATACATAATTGAGTTAAAACAACTTCATTCGTCTCTTCTGAAGAAGCCCAGATATCTACTGTTTTGCTGAAAAGGCATATTTCAATTAAAATAAAAAAGAAATCTTGACCAGAAAATACCTCACCTGCTCCATCTCTGATCCCCACAAGCTCCACAGCATCTATTTCGCACCAGGTAGCCGCAGCCGAACAATCTATCTCTATCCGCAGGACATTAGTTTTCACAACCACATCCTGTGGGCAGTTGAACAATGAACATTATTCCGCTCCTACAGCAATGGACAAATTCATCTACTGATGAAGAACTTTAAGACAGGAAACTTCACGAACCACCAAAGGTTTGGATGATTACTTTTTATTACAAAGGTAAAAATCTGCAAACTCAATGCAAAATCTTTACATAGTTTGAACACTTTCACTCAAGGATTAGAGTTGAAACTTTTTTAATAATTTCATTATATTTCTCATGCAAAATATTTCAATAATTGTTATACAAACTTTAATTTGAAATATCATTTATAACTTAAATTTGATCCAAAGAATGTGAATACCACCAGAGAATTCTACTTGCAAATACAAACAGAAAGTCAAAGGTGTCAATTAAAGGATTAACATACTTTTTTTTCTTCCCCTCAAAATATTTAGAGCACTGAAAAAAAGATTATAAACTTATCTGTAAGAGAAAAAAGACTACAACAACCTTGAGACTGGGAGAAAATATTCTGCTGGCTGTGAAAGTCTGAGGACGACTTGCAGTCCAGAGAGGCACCCACTTTCCCATAGGGTCCTGGGCTTTAACAGCAACAACAGCACCAGGGTTGAAAGTCTCATAAATGTTCACAGCTGTTGGTCTCACAAGAACATCAAACTCTACCTGAAAATGCGAAACGAAGGACATCACAGTCTTATCTGAATTTCATGTTCCACGAATCATGGAGAAGCAAAATATTTCATACAAAAATGTCCTTGTCTTGTAAAAAAAAACAAATACAGGCTTGAGATAATACATTGCGGAGGCTATGAAAGTATACTAAGATGATTCCCCAGAGCCAGTCAAACAACTAGAAAGGAGTGTTAAGTGAATTATAGGTCAAACCAAAATAAAACAGATAACGAGAGCCTAAAAAAAGGTAGACGTCTAAACAGCTGAACAAATAAAAAGAGACAAAATCTACAAATCTGAACTGAGCTGACAAAACACTTTTTTTCCTTCACAGCAGTTTCCATCTAGAAAAAGGATTTTTTGTCACTGTAACCATTTAAAACTTGAGTGATTCCGAAAATTAAATTTTAATTTATTTAAAAAACTAGTCATAGTATCACTTTGATTTTTTCACTCAAAAGGATAACTGATCAGGCTTTCGATTTAGCAAATACAAAATTTAGGTGAGAAAATGAAAAAGGACGTTTTACCAGCTTACGGCAGAAATTTGAAAACATTGTCACAATTCTCCAAGATGGCCAGTAACCGTTAAGAAAAGAAGAGGTTGTCTCAGTCAGGTTGACATCTTCAACAGTATCATCATAATATTTTTAAAATGCAAGGGGGGAATCAGGAAGTGGCCAATTGTATAGGTGATTATCTTGGACCGATGGCCTTTGAATCATATTGACGAAGTAAAGATACATCACCTTCACATTCAAAGTTATAAAGACTTACACTTACCTCGATGAACTGATTAGAATCAACAGTTCCAGATGCCCAGCTTCCATGAATATCACCATGCCTGGGATACACTTTTGGTGGCCCAATAACTTGATTTGCACTCCATCTGCACACAAGCCAAATAATAATTTCTTAACATAACAGACATTTACTGACCGTTTCTCCCAGACAATAAGTCTGCCTCATGAAACCACATCAGTCTATCAATAAAATAACAGACACAGATTTGCTATTACATCTCACTTTATAACACCTATGTCTTTGCTCTTTCCATCTCATTTTATCTGTTCAGTCCATCTTTTTTAATCAGACTCTTACGCCTTATCTAAAGAAAGATGTATACACACACATAAGTATAGTTACCCTTCTTTCCTGGGAATACCTGTATTATTATTATTGAAAGTAGTAGGCTACATAGGGGAGAGCGAGGAAGCTTTGGATGCTATTTTAAGTTTTGCTCCACCACTCGGTTCATGAACAATGTAAGCCGAAGAAAATTCACTATTATTATAAGCCACTGCGCATTTCTACTAACGATGTCAGCTTCATGCATCATGTTATACCACCAGAGTATAACTTCTGAGGTACCTTAAGATGTCCAAAACCACCCCTCTCTGTGGAAGACATCGGACAAACATGAGGGAAACTTCCAATGAAGAGGGGGGACTTACTGTGTGTTTCATGTATCAAATATTATTATTTGAGAGGCAAATGTTTGCCACAGCATACAATACTTCTACCCCATGTTTGATGTGTAAAAATGTATTTCACAATCACTGGAAATCATAGAAAACTGTGATCCAACCATACTTATAAACCAGTTCACTTTTACCCAGATACATGTTGACTTGAAATCTCCCCTTATCATTGTTGCAGAGCTGAGTGGTGCCCTAAAAACAAGCTACTTTTGCAGCCATAAAGAGAGATGAAAAGTATTCTTTTCAACATTAGTTCCCAAGACTGCCAATGTCTTGATTTGGTGAGAGCACTGCATAATTCGTGAAGATGTTCCATTTGCTAAGCTTTTATTGCCATTTCTTTCTGAGTTATCAACTCTGGGTTCGAATCCAAGGGTGTGTCATCTTGAACATGGGCTCTTTGACTTTGATGGGTATTTATGGCTCCCTGTTACATCCTGATGGAGAAGGATCTAAAACAAAATATCTTTCAGGAGTAGACATGATATACTTACGTTGAATCATTATACTGGGAGGAATACTTTCCGACCTTCTTGACCCATTGTTTCACAGCAGATGGATGGTACGGCGGGGGCCCCTCAGCCTGGTAGCGCTGGTTGTACATATCCAAGTCTTCCTGGAGAAAGAAGTGTGATGTCTTCTTTTTTCCTGAGACTTTGGAACAGATCCATGCAGAACAACTATCTCCCCCTGCCCACTCTCATTTGATAACATTACACTGTATTAGAGTAACAAGAGGGAGAGGCTTTAGAATTAATTTTCTATAGTCAGATCTGTTTCTGATAGGATATCCTTATTTCAAAGATAGCAAGAAATGTGAGGGTTTGTATTTAAATATATAGGCCTACAGTGAAATTGTCAAGCTCCACCCATTGTCGAGGAAAAAGTGCAACATGGCCATCTTAGACAGGTGGCCATCTTACACAGTGTCATTTTAATTAACAAAAAATGCATGAGGGGGAATGAGAAGTGGCCATTTGTACAGATGATTGTCTTATACAGGCATGCAGCCATTAGAGAAGGTTTAACAAGCAAATTTTAATCAATTTTGAACATGACTTTGAAAGAATTATTTTCAAAACATGGAGGTAGCAGCAAATGAATGAAACAGTTTTGAGGTAACTGTAAGAGCAGGTTTATATAGTTCTCTGATTACATTTTTATCTGTATTGCGCTTTAACAAGTTCCATACTGAAACAAATAACAACAAAAAAGCCTCTGATTGGGACTCTCTGGTATTTGCATTATATTTTTCTTATAATCAAAATGAAAAGCAACAGATTTATCTTTTACAGAGGGATTTGGAGAGTTCTTGCACCTTTATCAGAGATAACACAGCTCGTGCATAACTGTTACCAAAAATTTATTCAGTAGGCCTATATACCCTTGTATAACTACTTTTATATTCAAAATTATCGACCTACTACCATCTTTCATTAACTTGCTTTGGCAGTTGGAAACTCTAGGAGCAACCTTCATTATTGTCTTTTCTTTTTTATATTGGTGAAAAATATCTCACAACTCTTTCTGAAAAATAAATTGATCACAGCAACATATAATTGGCCTTCCTCTCCCAATCGGAGGAATTAAAATTATTATCTCTTACAAGATAAAGTCAATGAAATCTTCGCAACACTCAGAAAGTTGCCATCATTCCCTGATGTCCCATCAATACACAAAATCATACATTTTTTTATACTTCAGCCAACACATTTAATCAATTTAAACATAACGAATAAGGAATAATTCAACAATTAAGCCTATTATGGCTTTAATCTTTGCATCCCAGTTTAGAAGTTGGGTAGTTGGGGTTTTTTTGTTGCTTTTTTTCAACACTGTTCTATTAAAATAAAATTATTGAAGATATAACAATATTTGTCATGACAATGGGGGAAGATATCATGGCAGGTGCGTGTCAATTTTGTGCACAGACATTATTGGTAGGCCTATAACTTTCAAAATAAAACTTGTTCATTTGTCTTGCCTGTGATGAGAAAAATACCCACATGAACAAGGTGGGGAACACTATATATATAATGATATAACCTTTGTATCAAAAGTATAATTAATGAGAAATTGGCTGCCAATGTTTATACAGCCTAGCTATAATAATTCCACAGCTTGAGTGAGTGACGTACTGTAGGCCTATTTACATATTTTTGTGTGCTTCTGGTCAATGTCTGCCATTAAAATTCAAACAGAAATGTTCTTTTAAATGGACATAAAAGGTGTTGAGCAAAAAAAAAAACCTTTAAAAATTGACCAACGAGCAAAAAAATCATGTTGGCTAATAATTCTTCGATTTCATTATATTATTTTAACATTAGATTCTAAGCGCCATGCACAATTATATATATTGCCACACCTTTAAATTTTGTTTTTCTTGTTTTCTCTGTATTTGTTTGTTTGTTTGTTTTTCTTTATGTAGCCTAGGCCTAACCATGGTATGGACCTACCTATGAAACCAGCCAAGCTCCGAGGTAAACCTGAGCCAAAAAATGTCCTGGAAATTGAAATGATCAAAGATAACAACACATTCAAAACGGGGTTCGTTCGTGTAGCCGAATACAATAACACAGAGTGTGTAGGAGCAGCCAATCTTGCCCTTTCTGGTCACTAGATCACTTAGACATGACAAACTTACTTAGCCTAAACTCAAGAACGCGGGCCGTGTCGTACGGACGGGGACCTGGCCTAGCACCATGTCTAAAGGGATTCTAGTAGCTGAAGCATGAAAAGTTCAGTTATGACATAATTACTCATTACATAATACGTAACCGACCAGAGGGTCAGTCTTTGCACATAGACCTACTCGGAAATATTTAACACTTACCATTGTGCCTTCCGTGTGGTCAGTCAGTCACAGAGTCAATCAGTTGATTATTGACTGAAACAACCCAAGACTCCAGCCAAGAAGTTCAAAGGCCTTTGTCTGACAACGAAAAGCGATACTAAGCTTTGGTCTGACAGGCTCTAGTTTTCTTTCTGACAATAAAGACAACCACAATTTTAAAGTCCGAAGAAGAGAAATAACATTAGCAAGTGCTGTACTGAAGATTTTCGACTTCAACCAATATTTACGATGCGCCTGAACTGGCAAGAGTTCACGCTAAGTATAGTAACTGACTGACTGTAATCGTACGCCGCCATTTTGGCTTGACGGAGTATTGTCATTAGCAACAACAGTTTGATTGGTTCGCTTTGACCCTCCCTCTGGAATTTTTGTTTACATCTGCTTCTGTCCACGTTTGTTCTTGAATGTGGCTTCCGTTCCCCACTCCCTATCCCCCTTTTTACCTGCCCCCCCCCCCCCCCCCCCCCCCAGACTACTACTGTGACTGAGACCCCTTTTTCTGTCTTCTGTGTTTGTTTGTTTGTTGTTGTTGTTTTGTTTTGGTTTTTTTTTGGGGGGGGGTTGTAGGACCTAAGTGTTTTATGGCGCTTGCAACTGCATAAGGTCATATGAGCACGCGGACCTTCTGTTGCGAGCGCCGTATAAAACCTTATTAAAACAAAGCAAAAAATGGGGTAAATATGTTACTGGTTACTCGTGGTCTTTAAACGGTCGCGTCCACAGTGGTATAAATCACCCCTGTCCTCCAGTAACAGATTATGTAATGGCTCACGAAGCTTTACAAAAATATAGCCTGATAAAAACAATGCAGGTCATTTCTATAGCACCCACTCACGTACAATACAGTCAAGTGGTAGGCGCTTGACAATAATGCCCATGATGTGTGCATTACACACGCTCTTCATGTTAACGATAACACATAAGCAGACACTCATACATCGATATCTCAAAATGACAAAGTCTTATCTGATATTTTTTACTTTTTGAGTAACTTATACATTCTACCATGAGGTCAGAAACCAATGTGCTATCTGCTCTATCAAAATCATAAGATTAAATTCGCAGTCATTGTCAAGATATTCAAAGAATTGCATTCGAAAAAGCTTGACATATTTAGAAACTCAAAATGTTTGACGAGAAATTTCTCAAAACTAGGTACTGAGAAGATAGAACTTTAAATTTGTAATTTTGAGGTAGCATCATTTAGGCCCTACTATCACAGCACAATCAATGAAGATGTGCTCTTCTAATTAGTGTGTACAATGGAGTTACTATGATCGCCCGTCAGAGCAGAACAGAGACAGAGATCAGTCCAGAGTTGTGAATACGCTTACTCAAGACATTTTATTGACAAAACAATCATACCTCAATCAGGAAAACAATGGCATTTATTTACTGCGTTTCTGCTCATCTAGGTGTGTGTGTGTGTATGTGTGTGTGTGTGTGAGTGTGTGTGTGTGTGTGTGTGTGTGTGTGTGTGTGTGTGTGTGTGTGTGTGTATCTGTGTGCGTGCGCGTGTGCGTGCGCGTGTGTATATATATATATATGTGTGTTTACTGTATGTACGTGTCGTCGTGAGTGTGTATAAACATTTAAGTACAATTAATATTATATATAAGTTGTGTAAGCGTGTGTGTGTGCGTGTGTGTGTGTGTGTGTGTGTGTGTGTGTGTGTGTGTGTGTGTGTATGTCTGTGTGCGTGCGCGTGTGCTATCTGTGTGTTTACTGTATGTACGTGTCGTCGTGAGTGTGTATAAACATTCAAGTATTCAAGTACAATTAATATTATATATAAGTTATGTGTGTGTGTGTGTGTGTGTGTGTGTGTGTGTGTGTGTGTGTGTGTGAGTGGGTGTGTGTGTGTATGTGTGTGTTTGTGAGGGGGGGGGGGTGGTAGTTGCGTGATCGCACATGTCCATGCTTGTTTGTTTATTTTTGTGATTGTATGTTCTAGAGTGATGGCTCAGGAAGAAAGATTTGTGAGAATTTTAGTGAGGAAGAAAGTATATTTGTGGGAAGGAGGATTAAAAAGTAACAAAACTAAAGAAAAGTTGGCTTGTCTGCAGTAGTCTGCTTTTTATTTACCGACATGGCAATAAGTCCACAACATTTTAAAGTGTTTTTGTAAAACAGTTCATTGATCATCATCAGTAACAGTTCATAATCGTAAAAACAGCGTTGTTGAGATTGTGGCGTGCTTCATCTCACAGTTAAATAATAATAATAGATAGCATTTGTATAGCGCATATCCCCGCTCAACAGCAGGCTCTATGCGCTTTACACTATATTATTACCCCAGCAGACCATAGACCACTCCGAAACATTCTCAGCTTCCCGGGAAGCATACAGTTACCCAACTTGGCAGTGAAATATTTCCCAACGAGTTGCGATCACAATGAATGTAAAGGGGATTGTAAGGGTGAAATTAATACGTTACTCAGAAAGTAACCAAGAAAGGTCAACCACTAACTTAAAAAGAGTATTGTGAAATACAGACTTCAAAGAAGGAGTTTTCAATTGGTTAAAAAACCCAGCAACAACAGGAGTGTCAATTGTTCGACAAGTGAGGACGCGTGTGTTTCCAACTCTCCCATTTTAGGAAAATACTTCGGCTTTCCGCGTGGTGTATAGTGTTAAATCTTGTAACCTATCAGTAAATGTGTGAAAGTGCTGCGTTTTGGCAGGTGTAATATTCGCGGAATTGTTTTCACTTCTGTAAGATGTGATCAACACTGAATAAACACTTTTTAAAAACACAAACCAAATTTCTTTTTAAACGTACAAATATTTACGTGTTCGAAAATGTTCCTATTAAGTTAAGAATAGGATGATACACATATTATGTAGGCCTATTTGAAAAGCATCATCCAGTTATTCCTTGACAACGTGTAGCCTATTACTTACTCTGTATTTTTCTCACCATGTGGCACACTCTTACCTGTGCCAAAATTGGTCTCACCGGCCATAGCAAAAACCACACACTATCTAAATCGTTTTTTCTTCTATTCTATTTTTGAAATGTGCTCCCCTGCAGATACACAGGACATTGATGACGAACGAATTGTTATCATTATCATTATTTATTATTATTCCGGAGATGCCTTTTTGATCGGTTATTTATACATCTGACATACAGTACGCTCCACGGTACAAAAGCAAATCAGTTCAAAGGCTTTAAGGCTTCTTCCCCCCAAATCCGTTTCAAATGTCACATGTGAGTTTTTGCAAACTTAGGATATGACATATACTTCAATTCTATTGGAGTTTACCTCTTTTCAGTATGTTATTACCCCAAACCTGCTACAACTTTTCTGGTTTTTATCTCAGTTTCAAAACGGCCCTGTGAGAGGAGTAACTCTCATGGAATTAAATATAATATATGAATTTCACTTTATCTTTCTAGGGTCCATATTATTTTGTCCATCAAAGGAAAGTATTCCTCCCAGCCTGACGGCTCAGTGACATTTATGTTTGACCAATGATAAGAGATCTGTGCACAGCCTGTACGCTTTAATTATAATGGAAACTCTATTTAACAAATGAGTGTTTTATATGATGTGATGTGGGACTATGGCCTTAAACACTTAATGAACTTACTATAAGTATTACAGACGTTAACTATTAATTGTCCTTAAGGGCTGATGGGGCACCTGAGGGCTATCTCGGTTATTACAAACCCCGGAGAGCGCATATTTGCTGTGGGACAACATGTATTATAGGAGATTAAAATATATTGTTAAAAAAAGTAAATCTCGTTCGGTTGCCATGGAAACGGCGGCCATATTGGATTTTTGCATACGTATTTTGTTCACTTGTTTTTCAACAAATACACACTTTTAATTTGGCACGTTCGTAGGAAAAGTATGGATCTAAATATTGGCTCGAGGAATTTTGGATATATGCTTTAGTTTTCTTTTTATGGCACTTATAAATAGGCTTATTGAATAACTAAGAATAAAACGAAACATCAGGCGTTCTGAGGCTATTTATTTTTAAAAAACTACAAGTGCAATAAAAAATTCATCATACCACCGTTTAGAGCTAGTTGTTGTTAACATTCTGTGAAAGTTACATATCAATTGAATAAAGAAACAAAGCATGAAAAAGGGATTATGTGCGTGAAAGTAGCATTTTGAGAAAACGGCCGATAAAGGTAAGAAAAAGCCAAAACAATTCTCTTTCCAGCAAAAACCTTCAAAAGATATTTCAAACTAAAACATAGCAACTACTTGATAATATTAACACAGCAGACATAGAAAGGGAGTTTGCTACTAAAACTGAAGCATAATAATATAAGCGGTACAAAACATGCTTTTCGAGACAAAAAGTGGCAATTACTTTCTTTTTTAAAGTCTCTACCCACTGCTCTAAAATCCCTTCAAACACCACTTACACACGCTTACATACGTTTCAGGGCATTGTTCAGGAAATATCCAGGAAATATAATAAGTGACAAACCCAGTTTTCATAATTTCACCCTAAAACACAATATTTAGATGCCCCAACAGACCAAAAGCAAAGATGTGGCACAAATTGAACCATCATACATACACAGATCAGGAACACGAACTTGCGTTTTTCATCGCATGCATGTTGTTGTTCATTTTTTTATGCTTCAGACAAAGAAAACAGAACAGAAAACTCTGGATAAATAAGGAAGTTTAGTTATTTTTTAAAGTGTCCCAAAACAACGCATCTTCAGGCGTTGTGCGTCCTCATTGAGTTGCTTTAAGAAGAACCCTTAACCTTAAAAACGAAGACAACGCCATTATTATTAAAAGAATATCTCGGCACAACAGTTCTGGATACAGGCTCCCATTTGCCCTTCTGTGTCAGTTCCTTCATATGGGGTTCCAGACGATCTTTGTATTCTGCCACGGAGCTCAAGTATTGCTCTCTCATAACTATCACCACATAGCCACCTGAGAGATAACAAACAAACAAACAAAATAAAATAAAATACATACAATGTATATATTTCCAAAAATAATCTATAGAATGAATGAACAAACACGCTATAGAGTCAATTTATGAATAAATAATACAACTAAAACATTGTAAATATGGCTTGGGAATTCATAGTAATGTAATCGCTTTAAGGTAATCGGTATTCAAAAAGAATTAAATTGTCTGACTCTCTTTTTTTTTGATTAGGCTAAAGAGCGTGGGGGAAGATGGCTAGGAGGGAGATGAAAAGGGTCAGGGAGGGGGAAACTTTTTATACGGTTTTAAGAAAGACCAAAAGGAGCAGTTAAATCTCAAACAGCCAGATGAAGCAATTAAAGATTTCTCAGCAGTTTAATTTTCTTCACTTCCAATATATGCTCTGTCTGTCTGCCTGTCTGTCTGTCTGTCTGTCTGTCTGTCTGTCTGTCTGTCTGTCTGTCTGTCTG